GAACACTTTGACAACAGCTTATTGTGGAGGGACAAAAAAAATATTGTTTGGACAGGATTTTCTAATCTGTTGGTATTTTCCACCAAGACTACTAGTACTGCCTGCAGGGCATGAGATCAACTACACGTTCATTTTAAATATCACAGCACCTCTGGGTCCAAAAGGGAACACATACTATATGCACTGTACCTGCTGCTAAAGCCTTGTGATTCACTGCTTTGCTCCAGTTGCTCCATTTCCAGAAATGATCATGCGATGAACATCGAACACGAAAATTATAGCTGGTGAATGGATGCAGGTTGTTTAGAGGATAATTGTAGTATGTTCTGTCTGCTCCTTTCAAAGTAATGTTACGCTGTAGAAAAAAAAATACAATATGCAACTAAGAAAATACACTTTATAGATACAGAAACGCAGGAGCTGCAAGTGCTTCATTGTTTCAAAAAGGTGCAGGCTCGACAGATGTCCTCCTGTTCCTGGCTAGTGAGTTACTGACCTGGGACAAGCATGTAACCAATGAAGTCAATCTAAACTCTTGCCCTGCATACTTGGTTTAGGTCAGTGACTCCTACGCTAGTGAGGGCACGACTGGGGTAGCAGTCCAGGAGCCTATATAGACAACTACACAGTGTTTCCCCACCACCTCCAGGAAGCAATCACAATTTACCTAAAGCACAACTACCATCATCATTCATTTTTTATTGTTTTCCAGTGATTAATACGTTTTCACCTCTGACATTTACTTATTCCAAAATGTGAAAGAGAAACCTATTAATTTCCCCCATATACAGTGGGGCAAAAAAGTATTTAGTCAGCCACCAATTGTGCAAGTTCTCCCACTTAAAAAGATGAGAGAGACCTGTAATTGGCATCATAGGTAGACCTCAACTATGAGAGACAAAATGAGAAAACAAATCCAGACAAATCACATCGGCTACTGTGAATGGACAAAGAGGAGCAGTATTACACTGACAAGGTCATCTCTTCTCTCCCCACTGTAAGCTCTGACTGCCTCAGACCGCTGCACCTCTTTCTACCAGTATATAAGTGATGCTCAGCAGGGCATCACAGGAGGCTGGTATCAAAAAGATTTAGGTACTGCTAGTTCTATATAACAAGATATTTCATAATGTTTTATTGAACTCACAACTAGCTTGTGTTTTTTTTATATCTGCCTGTTGTTCAGCTTTAAGGCTCCTTTCACACAGTCAAAAGGGGATCCATGCACCGTTGAGACATCCATGTCCGTGCAGTCTTTCCTCTACCTATCAATGGAGGATAAAACTGACACTACCGGACCCATGTTAGTATATGGGCAGCAAGATTTAAATGGACCGATGTCTGTTTACATCCAGTTACTCCTGATATGGCACCATCAGGCCAAGTGAAAGGGTAGCCAGATGTAAATGGACACCCATCTGTATAGATCCGGTTGCCCATACACTAACATCTGGATTCTGATCAGGTCGGCCTGGAAAAATGGTAGGCGGACCTGATCGGAAAGCCCCTGTGAAAGGGACCTAAAGATTCACTTGAGTCGCAGTATCTTTGAATACAGCAAGAAAGAGTTTCAATTTCTTCTAATTTATTGTCTGTCTGGGATCCCACTTTGCCGCACTTCCTGTCTTTGTGATGCCTGCACAAAAAATGTTGGTCACCATCGTCACCAGCACAGGACGTCACACACAGCAATAACATTTATTGTCTAAGGGTTCTAACTCTTCCCCACACTACTAAAATATGTTTTTCGTTTTGTCTACGTTGCCAGTTAAGAGAGATTTACCCATAATTTGCTGTCCTTACAGGAAGTGAGGGGAAATCTCCCAGCAGGGTCACAGAATGCAATAAAAGAGGTCTATGGGCTCTGCAAAATACATGATGACAACAGCAGGCCTCCGAGCAGAGTGGAGGGGGAGTCTGTGGGTACTAGTCCTGGATCCTCCGGGAATGGGGGTAAGGAAAGAAAAAGTCCTTTACAGAATACCCCTGGATATTAATGAGCAGTTACTACTTGCAGTATGGGGGTAGCTCTACTGCAAGGATAATGTTGTCTTTACCTAAAGATAGGCCTTAATAACGCGAGTTAGTCAAGTTGGTCAACAAAGGGCATCATTTAACCTACAAACTTTCTCCACTAATCAATGGCTAACATGTTCTACTACTACTAGTCTCTCTTCTGCAATAAAAGTCAACTTACTAACATGTTTTTATTTTATCCAATTTTTAGGATTTCATTACTGATAGATTCCTGATTGGCTGTTAAAGTAGAACTCCATGGATGAAGTAAGGAAGGGTTTATAACCTCTGTCAGCTTTTTTTTCGCCATTTGTGTAATTGGAGATTTCCCTTCACTTCCCGATAGCCACAACAGGAAATAATAGGAAATCCTCCAAAGTGAAGGAAATCCCTTGTGGTCAGGAAGAGCACCACAACTAGCATCCCCATTGGAAGATTAGCTATTCCTGGTTCTAGTGACAACCCAAAATCTTGAATTTTTTTTCACTTTCAGCAAAAATAGAGAGCAACGAGGACAAAGACAGCTATAAAAACCTGACCCAGGTGTCCTAATCTCTCTCTACTCTATCCAAAACTTCAGTTGCACTTTAACTCTGATGCTGGTAAAGTGTGCTACTATTAACAGCAATTATACAATGAACACAGGAGGATGATTTTGCAGAAATGAGGAGAAAATAATATTACCCTTTCCACCTCTCCATGTGTTTTCCTGATTTCAGTTTCACATAGGAGATCAACGGAAGTATAAGCGCCGGGTAAAATCCATGAGACGGACACCTCAGTTGGAGTGAGGTCATTGATACTGATTCTCTCCACAGGAAATGGATAAACTAGATAAGGATACATAATACAGAAGAGATCCATTACTAGGTATTCAGTAACAAATACAGAAGGCAAGACAGATTCAGACATACATGATATTGGCTATAGGCTATTTTTGGCAAATGCCATTGACATGGCGATTGACATTTTGCCAACGCTAGTTCCTTGGCTGACCTATTGAACCTCTTGGTAAAATATTCAGTACTTTTTAGGTTGGTAAGCTGGAAAAGGTGTGCAAAATTGGAGCTCTCTTTACCCAGGTGCTCATAAATTACATATTTATTTCGGGTCAGTGTAAAAACACAAGAGAGCCAAACAACTAATGATTAACAGCAATGTTTATATTCCTCCCAATACAGGTTTGCTTTTAAGTCCAACACCAGTCATAACTTTTTAAATCTAGATAGGACTATGAAGGATTAGAACCTGCATCAGGTTTTAATTGCTGTCTTTAAGGGGAGAGTTACTCTTGAGCAGGGTACACATGGAGCAAATTTCATCCGATTCACCAGGAATCAACTGAAATTCACTTAGTTGGTGGCCCCTTTTCCCTCACCAGAAGTCAATCATTTGGTCAACTTTTGCTGAAGGAACATGTTGGAAATTCCTTGGCTGAACAGTGCTTGCAGCCAACTAATTTCCTCCATCAGAAAATGGAGAAAAAAACTGGATGGATACGGATGTAACAGTGGTGACATCTAATCCGTACTGCTCTGATCAGATTCCCTTCTGGTCAGACTGTGTGAAAGGGGCTTCATTCCTTAGTCACTCAGGTTTTCTTCGTGCTATACAGCTGTTTCTCCAAAAGTCTCTACTCTTCACCACTTAACCGGTCGCAGCTTCTCCAACATCATTCTATACAATGAAGGAAAAGTAGTCCAGCACTGTAAACAAGGGCATCTCCATGCTATGAGCTTCAGAGAGAGAAGAGATTGTCAGCTGCTGGGGATGCAATGCGTAAAGTAACTCACCACTAGACAAAGCAATGCAGAACCCATGCAGTGCTGTTAAAGTAAATATGAGCAAGGAAAAACTGTCTTACTACAAGGAAAAAGAAAGCTGCAGTATCATGAATATGTAACAATCGTTCAAGTAAGCCTCATCTTACTTACTCTTTTCTCTGATATCGAGGTCAAGGGAAATGTTCGCTGCTCCAAGGGGATTTGTAGCAAGAAGAAGAAACTCGTATAAGTTCTTCCCTTTCTTCACATCCACGCTGCAGTTGTAATCTTCCTGATCTCCGGTGTACCCCGAACATGTTAGGTTTATTCCCGAGAAGCTGAAATAAAGTTTGCCGGGGTCAAGAATCACCATGTGATTATATACAATGCAAGAGACTAAAGACTACAGTCACCAGCAGTGGAACTGGTAGGTATCATTACTCTTATTTTATAGGGTGGCTATTTCCATAATTCAGGTAAAGTTGCTTGAATTGTAAAACTTAAAGTGACACTAAACTCTGGAGTTAAATCTTAAAAACACATTCAGGTACCTTAACTATTAACAATGCTGTACCTTAATTGTATGTCACTCGGCTGTAGATCCTCAAATCATCTCTGAATTGGTGCTGACACTGTCCAGGCTTCTGGAGGGTGCCTACATTTGTTCCCCATGGTCCCTGTGTGTGTTGTAAAGTAGCCACCGCTCCAAGCTCACTCCCATGATGGACTACAATCTCAATACAAATTGGAAAACTAAACATGAGATTGTAGTCCATCACGGGTGCTAGCTTGGAGCTGTGACTACTTTACAACACACACAAGGACCATAGGAAACAATAGTAGCCACCCTGCAGAAGGAAGGACAGTTTCAGCACCAATTCAGAGATGAAGATCTACAGCTAAGGCATTTTTAAGATTTAACTCCTGAGTTTAGTGTCACTTTAAACATCATAATGCTGAGTTTATTTACCCGTAAAGTTAGTCCTGGTCTGCTGTACAGTATATTCCCCGCACCCTGCGTTAAATCTCCACAGCTCTGGGCTAAAAGAAACTGGCACCAATGACTGCATATCCACACACAGACACATGCATTTTACAAAACACCTAAACATTCTGTTAAGTAGATAAAATTACCGTTCATATAATGTGTATTTTGTACCACGCTCTCCATACAATCCAGTGGGTCTGCCTGTTTTCCACGTACAGTTGATAATTGTGAGATCACGTGCTTCACAGTTAAAGTCCTGTGGATCAGCCGGCGGGTCTGCATGGAAGAAAACACATCTTACTAGTACTAAAGTAGCATAGATCTTGAGTTATAGGAGAAAATCTAGTAACATTTTGTTGTATGGTTTATCGTCAAGATATGTGTATTTCAGATTAAAAACTCAAGACAATAAGTGAACGCCTTATTCAGTAAAGCAACTACTTCAACTGTGGTAAAATTGTACCTCTACTTTGTGTTTTGTTGAGGCATGTGATCTTCCTTTAGGGCCCTTGGTTAGTTTTAGAATTTACTGGGACACTGCCCCAGCTGTTCTCCACTTAAAAATAGGCGCCACTTCCTTTTTTACATTTCCTAAAACTAAACTAAACTCTGCACCTATATACTCCTGAAAATGTTTCATGCCACTTTCTCTGGGATAAAGAGTTATTAGTAGGGATGTCCCGATACTGATGCTAGTACCGGTATCGGGGCCGATACAGGGCATTTTCAAGAGTACTTGTACTCCTGAAAATGCCACAATGCATAGAGCCGATACCGGCCCTTTAAACTGTTTTCAAAGAGCTTGGGCCATTGACCCGCATGGCCCTTCCCCCGAAATACCTCTCCACCAAACGCAGGCTCCCTCTCCGCTCTGACCTCTCCGGACGGAAGTGTGACAGCGTGGCGGGTGGTAAGTGTTCTGTGCGGACAGCCTCTTCTCCCTGCTGGTGCTGGCCGCAGCGGTCTGTGTCCCTTTCACAGACCTCTGTAGCCGGCACGAGAAGGGAGAAAAGACTACGGCTGTGAAATAAGGGGGGGAGGAAAGGAGAGAAGCTGTAAATCTTGCCTACACACATAATGGACCTTCCCTTCTTTCATTGAGAGGGAAAACTTCTGTGTATGTCTGGTGAGGGCATTATTAAACACATAAGGAGCACGGACAGATGACACTTTGAGATATGACACTTGTAATGTCCCTGAGATACATCACCAAAAGCAAACAGTTGGAAAAGGAATTGACACTTGTAACAATAGCCAGCCTGCTATTGGATATTTTAAATTGCAATAGCCAATAGCAGGCTGGCTATTGTACCCGCCCATTGCCTGCTGTCAATCAGCAGAAAGGACCTGATGGAGAACTTTGTCTTCAGTTCCCTCCTTTTCTGATTTACATCAGGCAGTGGGCGGGTACAATAGCCAGCCTGCTATTGGCTATTGCAATTTAAAATATCCAATAGCAGCCTGGCTATTGCTCCCAGCCACTGCCTGCTGTATTTACAATCAGTGAATCCAGTGAAGTGGAAAGGTGACACTAGAGGTCTCAAAGACCCCTAATGTCACATTAAAGAGAACCTGTCACCTCCAATGCACGCAGCCCTGGTGAGAAACTGCCCTAAAACCATTAGAATGTATTGTTTTAGAAAAAATGTCACATGTCCCTTTAAGAAAAAGTATTGGTAATTGGTATCGGCAAGTACATGAAGGACAGTACTTGTTCTTGAAAAAGTGGTATCGGGACATCCCTAGTTAGAAGTTGCAATTATTACTATTAATTACCAAACTGCCTAAAGGTGCCCATACACTGCACGATTCTCGTACGAGAATCGCGGGAAATCCCGCGATCGTACGAGAATCGTGCAGTGTATGGAAGGCGTGCGACCGTTTCTACTGTACGGTCGCACGTCTTCCATCGAACCAGCATGTTTGAAAACCCGCCGGGAATCGTACGATTCTCGGAGAGTTGGTGGCCTGTTGGTGGCCTGCTGGTTCGACAACTGCCGAACGGGCCGGTGTGCGCACGCGCACACTGCCCGTTTGCAGTCAGCGTAAGCCCGCCCCTCATTACAGTCATCGCAAGCCCGCCCCTCAGGGGGCGTGGCTTGCGATGATCGAGAGTGCGATCTGCCCGTCCAAGATGTATGTACACCTTTAGTCTTTTTGTGGAATTCATAAGGTGTGGCCCTCATTAGACATAATGGGGCCCATTTCAAAGCCCAAGTGAAGTTGAATGTAAATTCCATGTGAATGAAATTTGTTCCGCTAGTGACCCTATTCCCTCAACAGAAGTCGACCATTAAATCTACTTTTGCCGAAGGAACATGTTGGAAATTCCTCAATCGAAGGGTGCTTGCAGCCAAAGCTCACAGCTGGAGATTTGTACATGCACATTGTTTAGCGTGGGTGGAGAATCTGCAGGCTGAACGAAAAATATAACAGCGTATACCCTACTTAAGTCTTTCTATAAAGGACAGAGTTAAGGTGCTCAGATAAAAACTGAATTCAGCCATGTTGCCTGCTGCAACAAAGCATCTAAAAGGTAAGAAATAATATTTAAAAATGTTTTTTTCATTAGGCTGCGAGAATGGAAACACACAACAGACATACAGTATAGAAGGTTTTTCTCCAATTTTGACAGCAAAAGTGGAAATACAGTTTAAAGTAAACCATAACAACATTCTTGGTATCTCATCTAATGGTACCTGTGGGTAAAGGATGTTGTAAGCTTTTTATTGCTGCCTCTTTCAGATGTCTAGCAATCCCGAGATTACAGATGAGAACACTCAAGCTGGAATTCAGACTGCTAAAAGGTACAAATTGTTCTTACGTAGTCTAAATACAATTATGGCATCCCTATTTTCAATGACTGGAACTAATTTTGTTTTCTATTGGTTGAGGTCAACCAAAAGAAACAACAAATCATTTCAGCCAATGGGAAAGAAAAGAGAAAAGGTATGGAAGGAGAAAGTAAAAGGAAAGTGGATTTCTACACAAAGCTTCACAACTGCTATGTGGGGACTGCTAGAGAGCTGTGACATGAAAGAGGGAGCAAAAAAGAGCTTACATCACCCTCTACACACAGGTACCATTAGTTGGAAGTATGAGAAATAGTACGGATGTACTTAAATTGACACCAAACTCAGGCGTTAAATCTTGAAAATGCATTCAAGTACCTTAATTATTAACAGAAATGTATCTTATTTGTGTATCACTCGGCTGCAGATCCTCAAATCATCTCTGAATTGGTGCCGACACTGTCCTTCCTTCTGGAGGGTGGCTAAAGTAGCCACCACTCCAAGCTCACTCCTGTGATGGACTACAATGTTAATACAAATTAGTAAACTAAATGTGAGATTGTAGTCCATCACGGGAGCGAGCTTGGAGTGGTGGGTACTTTACAACATACACAGGGACCTTGGGGAACAAAAGTAGCCACCCTCCAGAAGGATGGACAGTGTCAGCACCAATTCAGAGATGATTTGAGGATCTACAGCCGAGCAAATAAGGTCCAGTTTTGTTAACAGTTAGGGTACTTGGATTTAGTGTCTCTCTAACTGTTACGAAATTACAACATACAACATACTCACATCCCACGAAAACGACAGTTCCAGCCATATTTTCAGGACTCTGGGAGTAGCAGACGATGTTGTCCCCGCTAGGCTCTGATTTGTTCATGTTGAAGAGCCGAATGCCTCCGACATTGGGGCTGCCAAGCTCGATTACAGGATATTTGGTAGTATTAAACTCGATTGACATTACATTTTCTAGTTTGCAGCAGACGGTCATGTTGGAGCCGACGAGAAGCACCTTATCGACAGGAAACATTGGCTCATCCAAACTGGTGTCACCTGTGTGGGACAGAAACCTATTCATGAATAAATCCTAAAATCTGATTTTCACTTTTTTTGATGCTTATTATGTCATGTGTTCATTATTACACACAGTTCATTCTGTAAATATGACACCTCACTGAATGCAAGTGTAAGAACTCCAGTCTGACCTGCACCAGTAAATATTTTTTGATACCATAAAGCATGAATAGAATTTAGTAAGTACTCAAACGGAACAATTGATTAATGTTTCTCCTCAGTATACACTCAAGAAAAATACAGGTTTAATGGAGATACGAATGTGAGTAGCTTAGTGCTTAAGATACCGCAGTGGTTGGCTGTAGCCGGGGTTCAACAAAAACTTGAAAAAGTTAATGTAACCTGCACCCCAGACTACTTAAACAGCTCAGCCAGGTTATAGCGAGACCATTATTCCTCATTATCGAAGGACTCCATAATGACTGGAAGGGTACCAAGTGATTAACTACAGACCAGTCAGTCTAACATTAACAGTATGCAAACTGTTAGAGGGAATGATAAAGGACTATTTAGTGGATTTTGTTCGTGACAGTGGTATAATAAGTGATAATCAGCATGGATTTAGGAAGGACCATTCTTATCAGACCAACCTACTAACATTCTATAAAGAGGTGAGTAGAGATCTGGATGGAGGAAGAACAGGGGATGTGGTGTACCTGGATTTTGCCAAAGCATTTGACACGGACCACATAAATGATTAATACACAAGCTGAACTCTATGGGCATCGATGAAATGGTGTGTACATGGATAGAGAACTGGCTACAGGAACGTGTCCAGAGAGTATTGGTAAATGGCTCTTTTTCAAATTGGTCTAAGGATGAGAGTGGCATGTCCCTGGGTTCAATGCTAGGCCCCATACTGTTTAACCTGTTTATTAATTATAATCGGGGAAGGTGATAATAGCTGTGCTTCTGTGTTGCAAGAGGATACTAAAATTGGGAGGGTAATAGACACAAGCTTAAACATTATAACATTACAGGAGGACCTGGATAAAATAGGGGAGAGGGCAACTACATAGCAGATGGTTTAATCTTAAAAAATTTAAGGTGACGCATTTTGGGGTTAAAAATAGGCAAGCGGATTACACATTAATGGGTACACTACTAGGGAAGTCAGAAATGGAAAAAGATTTGGGGGTCATAGTCGACTACAGATTGAATAATAGCATGCAATGCCAGGCTGCGGCAAGCAGAGTACTGTCATATATTAAAAAGAGAATGTACTGTAGAGACACAGCAATAATTTTGCCACTTTACGGATCACTGGTTTGGCCTCAGCTGGAGTATGCGGTTCAGTTTTGGTTGCCAATCCACAGAAAGGATGTCCTTGAGCTGGAGCGAGTCCAGGGAAGGGCAACTATACTAATTAAGGGGCTGGAGGACCAAAGCTATGAGACTTGTTCACGCTGGAAGTGAGGCGATTAAGAGGGACATGATTTTGATGTACAAAATGTTTAATGGTGATGGCAACATCGGCAAAAAACGTTTTACTGTAAACTCCCTAACAAAGACTAGAGGCCACCACCTAAAATTGGTTAGTGCGGTTACATTTTGAAACTCTCTTCCACAAGCAGTAGTATCAGCAGAGAGTATTGAATCATTCAAAAATCATTTAGATACCTTCCCCAGAGACCGCAACATACAGGGGTACAAGTACTCTTAAAAACTAGGCAACACAGGGAATCATGCACACACGCACACACGGTGTCTTTATTCAACCTCAATACTATGTAACCATGTAAAATCTATTTCAGAATAAGCCACTTGTTTTTTTAATAACATTAGATTGCATACATTTTACTAACTTGTGAGGCAAGTAGTAAGCAAAATATAATATTTTCCATTACAAAAATGTCAACTGTAAATGGGCATTAGATGTGTACAGCCCTTGCAGCCCATTGTTATACAAGGATGTTATAAATACACTTGTGAAATTTCTTACTCTCCTAAAGTTTCAGAAAAGATAGGATTTTTGTACTCATAAAATTATTTTCTTAAGAGCCCACTGAATGACACTGGAAGTCTTAAACATTCTAGTTATACTGATACCGGCGGATTGGCAACTGGATAACAAAACAAAATGTAGCACAGTCCAGGATACCACCTCCCAGGACCAGCATGCCTCAATTTTATAGCAAAGCAGTATCAAGACCATGATCATGAACACAGGGAGGTGGGACCTGTGTCCCTCAATGGACTCAGGAAAAGGATTTTATGGTGAGTACAAAAATCCAAGACTTGCCAAAGGGCAGGGCAATAAACTGGCAGTGCAGGGGTCCCACCGCAAAGTGTAGGAATAGCTGATGCGCTGGAAACATGGGGGCATGAAGGTAGGCATCCTTGATGTTAACAAAAGCCAGAAAGTCTCCATGGTGAAGGGAGGCGATGGCTGATTTGGTGGATTAAATGGATAACTTCTGGACCCCAAATGAGATATTAAGAGATTTGAGAACCAAGATGTAGTGGATAACCCTTTGAGTTTGGGAATGGTGCACAGATCGGTGTAAAACCTCTGAAACCATTCTGCCACAGGAACTGGGGCAATGATACCTTGATCCAGAAGACCCAAGAGGGTTTAATGGAGACCTGTATGGTCACACAGAAAGTTTGGAGGCGAGAAAAAGCGGAGAGAAGCTTCATTAATAGCCCTGGGATACCGCCTCCTGCACCCAAGCATCTGAGGTGCAAGCTGTTTTGGGCGGGTGAGTGGGTGAAGAGAAGGGTTGTCTCTGGTTTTCATGAAAACACCCAAATAGTTATTTACCTGTCAATTAAACAATCTAGTACAGCGAGCAGCAATGTAATTATGTTACAGCAGGCTGCAAAAAGGTCTACACTGCGGAAGTTACAAGATCGGTAGCCGTTAAAAAGTGGGCATGGCAGTCACCTTTTCTGGAATACGGGAATGCTTGGTTTCTCACTTAAATGATACCTATGCATTGAAACAAGAATAAACTCTTTCAAGGTGAGAAAGCATGTTTGAGAAGGTATGTTTATAGTAGGAAGGGTTATCCTGGGGTGGCCTAGAGTTAGTTTTTTGGTTTAATGTCCAATCTTCTTGTAGAAGGCAGCATAAACTGAAGATTTAAGACTTCTTGCAATAAAGAGAGAAATGTTGATCCCCTTTTCACTACTTAATTTCCACCCCCCTTATTTCTCTTTAACTGATAAAGACACCGGGACATCTTGGAAATCCTGGAATGTTTTTTATATTGTGAGAATGTCTGGCATACTATTCCTAGCATGGCTATTTATAAACACATTTTAAATGACAGAATTCCTGACGCAAAACATGCCATTACCATCTATTGTTTTTAAGACACTCCATTCACTATGCCGGATCTCTCCAGGGTAGTATTCATCATGGACGAGGCATCGGATCCTTACAGAGTGCGATGTGCAATTCAAAGGAAAGTCTGAGGTCCAGTTCCAATGGAACGTAGTCATGCTTAAATTCCAGTGTACCACGAATGTTTCCTAAGAACAGAGAACAAACTGTACCCATGAGTTATGTTGGCAACACTAGCTGGATAACAACAGAGCTGAATGCTGCCACCTTGTGTTTTATGCAAGTAACATTTAACAGAAGTCTAACATCTTCTTTGTAGCATTTTAGCATTCTGTACTATGGGATGTCGCTATGTTTAACTGGTTTCTGGTTGGAAATGCCTAAAGAATACCTTTTAATCTTTGAATGATGCTTCCACCCCAGTGCTCTATGCTGGTATAGATGAGCAATGGGAACACCCCTAAGCATACTCACGCACATTCGTACCATGAAAGAAGAAATGGGAAGAGGAGCGGGGTATAGTGTGATCAAACTCTGGTTTAAATTGCACCGCAGAGTCATAATTTAAAAAAACGTTGCAACTGATACAAGAGGAAAATGGGAGATAAAACTATAACATGAAGGTTATTACAATATCTGACTGTCGATCTATTTCTGCAACTTCAAATGAGCCTTACATTTTGGCATATGACCAGTAACAGAGGTATCTTTTTATACTTAACCTTGAACTATCGCGTATGGCTACTAACAGTCAGCAGCTGGGGCTCTATGCTAGAGGACTCATAAATCACAGGAGGGGCAACCTTTCCCTCGCTAGCACATGCAAAAATTAATATAGTGATACAGTCTGCCAGAAAGTATACAGGCAATGTTGGACTTTCTTATTAGAAAGCCCAGCATACTTTGCAAACAGTATTTTATATACATTTTAACTCTTTATTCTCAAAGCAAGTTTCTCATAAGTAAAAAAATAGAAATGTGTTTATAAACTTGTAAACCTTTTATAATATATTTAAATGTTAATTAAAACAACAGACCTGTTATGTGGGCCTCTTATGGTAGAGCAATACAGTATGAATACGGTCAAAGAGCATAACCAAGGAGAATACCGCAATGTTTATAAAAACAAAAACATTAGACTATTATATTATAGGTTACAAAAAAGGTGTAAGGAGATAATATAAATTACACAACAGGGAACAGTTATTATCTTTGGCCTCCGAATCCTGAGTTGATGCACCTTACCCAGCTCCACTCTCAGAATTACAGTTTCAAAGCCATAATTCACCTGTGGGGTTTTTTTGGTGTTTTTTTTTTAAAGATCACAAACCCGATGGAGATTACCTATGCCATTCCCAAGCCGATGCAGCCTGCCCACCACTATGCAGGAAAAACAGGTTAATTTAGCCTGGCTATGTTGCTCTGCACAGGATCCTGAGAGCACTCACTAGAGTTTTACAATGTATAAAGCACAAAACCCCTCAAATACAATTAAAAAAAAAAAACACTGTAGAACAAGGGTGGGCAATATTTGGCACTCCAGCTGTGGTGGAACTACAAGTCCCATAAGGCATTGCAAGATTCTCACAACCACAGACATGACTCCCAGAGACAGATGCATGATGGGATTTGCAGTTTCACCACAGCTGGAGGGTCGGAGTTTGCCCACCTATACTCTAGAAGGTAGAAAAGACAGAGCCAAGTGCAGGTATTCTATCAAAGATTGTGGCTGGGTTGGAATGTGTGACTGGTTACAGATTTTAACGAAATCACTCGCACTTTTTCGGTGGTGAAATATGTGACCGGCAAAAGGTGAAGAATTCCAAAGCATTCTCAGCTGTTCCAGGACAGATCGGCATCGCAGATCGTATGTGCAGGAGAACTGATCTGCCCCGGAACAGCTGCCAGAGTTGGCTAGAAGTAAGATTTCAGGACCGATCAACTGTTCCGGGGCAGATCAGTTCTCATGCACTGACGATCTGCGATGCTGATCTGCCCTTGAACAGCTGAGAAAGCGTTGGAATTCTTGACTTTTTACCAGTCACATACCGTATTACGTTAAAATCTGTGACCACGTGACCAGTCACAAACTTTGATAGAACACAGACACAAAGAGAGGGTGTCTTTGTGCCACCAAACACAAATTTTCATAGGATATATGAATGGAATTTTGACACAAAACATACATTTTTGACTAGCTGAAGGTTTTCACCCCGTAACACGTTGATCTCCCATTCTATCGTCACCGTGTTCAGAAAGCCGGTGAAATTCACCGTCCAGTTCACAAGCAGGACATCAGACTTATAATCACCCACCAAGGAGAGGATCTGTGGTGTATAGGGAACGTAAGCTGTAAGACAAAGGGGCACACAATTAGCTGGAGAAAACATTTTCTACAATCACAGCAGCAGCAGGATAACATTGAGCTGCACAGTAGACTGATCTGCTCCAAACACAATGCACCCATTATGTTCATCAGCTCACTAATGGAATAACCGACAGGAAGATCACACTAATGATATAACTAAACGCACTCATTACAGACCCGGGAAATATGGAAGATGTAGATTACCAAGCACAGAGAAAATGTTACAGCTTTAACCGGTTCTTTGCCAGATAAACCAAACGATGGGGAAATACACTCATCATCTTGTTTTATGATCTGCCCAACCAACACCCACCTATAATTAAAATCAGAGCAGTATTTTCTAAATCTTGCCATAAATGCAATAAGGAGATTAGTACTGGAATTGTCTGAGATTCGAGCTGTGGGTAGCTTGCAAGCACTACCTGACTCAAAAAAAGAGGATTTAAATACTGATGGATCCAGGTGAAAAATGATGAACCGAAACAACGACTGCATCCCATCACTTTGGCTGCTGAATACAATAGCTGGCAGTGAAGATTCCTTCATCCATTTTGAATAGCCTATCGATCAGAATGGAACCCAAAAAATACGGTTTAATAAGGAACTAGGACATAGATATGTAATATCTGAAGTTTTATTTTAGAACAGGGGTAGACCACCCTCCAGCTGTGATATAACTACAAGTCCCATAGGGCATTGCAAGACTGACAGTCACAGACATGACTCTCAGAGGCACTATGAGGTTTGAAGTTTCACCAAAGCTGGAGTGACAGAGCTTGCCTACCCGTTTTGTGTGAATATATATATATCTATAGATATATATATGTATATACACACATACACACAGTATTGTGCAAAAGTTTTAGGCAGGTGTGTAAAATGCTGTAAAGTAAGAATGCTTTAAAAAATATTTATTTTTATCGTTCATTTTTATCAATTTACAAAATGCAAAGTGCATGGACAGAAGAAAAATCTGCATCAAAATCAATATTTGGCGTGACTACCCCTTGACTTCAACTCAGCATCAATTCTTAAGGTGCCCATACACTGCACGATTCTCGTACGAGAATCGCGGGAAATCCCGCGATCGTACGAGAATTGTGCAGTGTATGGAAGGTGTGCGACCGTTTCTACTGTACGGTCGCACGACTTTTGTATTTCGAGCATGTTGGAAAATCAATCGAGAATCGTATGATGTTCGGCTGGTTTTTAACATGATCAAGAGACAACTGCCGAACGGGCCGGTGTGCGCACGCGCACACTGCCCGTTCAGCATTGCTGTCATCAGAAGCCCACCCCTCAGGGGGGCGGGCTTGCGATGATCACAAGTACGATCTGCCTGTCCAAGATGGGCAGATCGTACGTTTTTTTAATTACTTTACAACCCTCGCAAGACAAAAGTCTTGCGAGGGTTGTATAGTGTATGTCCACCTTTACACTTTCACACTTGCAGAAAGTCAGGGATTTTGTAGGATTATAGTCAGGTGTATGATTAACCAATTATGCCAAGCAGGTTCTAATGATCATCAATTTCATATGTAGGTTGAGAAACAGTCATTAACTGAAACAGAAAGCTGTGTAGGGTAAAAACTAGAGGCCATCACCTAAAATTGATGGAAAAAAAATTCCAGCACAAGGGGCGAAGGGGGTTCTTCATAGTAAGATCAGTTAGGGTCTGGAACTCACTGCCACAGGCGGTGATTTCAGCAAATAATGTGGAAGTGTTCAAGAAACTTTTGGACGATTTCTTAAGGGACCGTAATATACAGGGGTACGGGTACTCCTAGAATGAGATCCTAATAGGTTGGACTTGATGGACTAATGTCTTTATTCAACCTCAAATACTATGTAACTATGTAACTATGTATCACACTAATGAAAGGTGGGTGAAGGCCCTCAAGGGATGTAAAACAAATTTGTTTGGCTTTCCAATGGGGCCTCCAACATCAAAGCTTAGAAATGCTTGTAAAAATCTGGAAGGTCTTGAGCTGGTCAAAAAAAATTAAGCTGAACTCCAGCCTTACATTTTTTCCCCCCACACTTGTAGTAAACCATCTCCTCTGCTGAAAATGAATAGTCAGTAGACAAGGCAAGGTATTATGTGCATACACTACACTTTAGCTTTAAGAACATTGAACTATAAGGGTTAACAGCAGGCTCCAAGAGCTAACTGCAAAAGTCTTTACAATCGTTTTACTGCTGCAGCCCGCTGTTAACCCCGAGCTTTTATTGTTAATTTGTAACATTTTTAAGACTGAGACCATCTAGATTTTTACCAGCATTTCTCAGCCCTGATGAAGGAGGCTCGTTAGATTGGGTGCTGCTGATTCCATCATGACATGCTGGGGTGCGACATGGTAATAAAAGCACAATGTAAATACCGACAGCTGATTAATATTATTATATAGGATTTATATAGTGCCAACAGTTTGCACAGCGCTTTACAATATAAGAAAGACATTACAGTTACTATATAATTCAAGACAAGGTGGTAAGGAGGGCCCTGCCCCTGAGGGCTTACAATCTAAAAGGGAGGGGCAAGTGATTCACGAGGAGGTAGCTGTGTGGGGATGAGTCATTGGAGAAAGTGATAGTTCAGTGGTTAGGTTGAGGTGGGATGGGCTTCCCTGAAGAGATGGGTCTTCAGGGATTGCCTAAAGGCAGACAGAGTAGGAGACAGACGGACAGGTTGGGGTAAGGAGTTCCAGAGGATGGGAGAGACTCTAGAGATGTCCTGGAGGTCAGCATGGGGATCGA